AAAAAAAAAAAAAAAAGAACTCAGCCTTGCTGCAGGATCACTATCTGCCATTCCATGCCCACTCTGGCACTCCCTCATTTATACAAGGGCCTAAGGAATACTCTCTGCAGACCATCTTGAGTAACCTTAGATTAGGCATTCTGAACGCAGAAGTCTGTGGAGACCATGAAATGTTATTCAAAACTATGTATGTGTGAGGGGTGGTGGTGGTAATAGCTTCACATTTTTTATGTGGGGAGAGAGACCATAATTCTTAGCAGATTCTCAAAAGAGGTTGTGATTCCTCACCCATCAAAAAAATTAAAAGTCTCTCTATATAATGTCTCACTTTTTCTCATGTAAATTATTCTCATCTAGACCTGCTGCTTTTTCCTTTGCTTTCCTCCTTAGTATCCACTCATTGACCAACCCAGAACCTAGCCAATATCCTTGAATCCCTATTCATTGTCCTTCATATTCAGTTAATAACCAAATCTGGCTGTGACTATCTTTATATCCTTTTTTGTTGACAGTATTACAGATTTCCCCCATTCCCCCCCAACCTTTGCTCCCCTCCACCCTGACTCCACCCCACTCCAGGCCTTCACCACATTATTCTCTGAGTCCATGGGCTATGCATATATGCCTATATGTTCTTTGGTTAATCTCTTCCAGTCCCCCCTCCCCTCTGAGATCTGTGAGTCTGTTCCATGTATACATGCATCTGGACCTATTTTGTTCTTCAATTAATTTTGTTCATTACATTCTACATATAAGTGAGATTATGTAATATTAGCCTTTCTCTGACTGGCTTATTTCACTTACCATAATAACCTCCAGGTCCATCCATGCTGTCTCAAAGGGTAAGAGATTCTTCTTTTTTATAGCTGCATAGTATTCCATGGTGTAAATGTGCCACAACTTTTTTATTCACTTATTTACTAATGGGCACTTGGGCTGTTTCTAGATCTTAACTATTGTAAATAATGTTGCTATGAACATAGTGGTGCATATATTCTTTCTGATTGGTGTTCTGGGATTCTTAGGATATATTCTCAGAAGTGGGATTGCTGGGTCAAACAGCAGTTCCATTTTTAATTTTTTGGGGGAAACTCCATACTGTCTTCCGCAGTTACTGCACCAGTCTGCATTCCCACCAGCAGTGTACTAGGGTTCCATTTTCTCTACATCCCCACCAGCAGTTGTTGTCTGTTGATTTATTGATGGTTGTCATTCTGGCAGGTGTGAGGTGATACCTCGCTGTAGTTTTAATTTGATGACTAGTGACCTTGAGTATTTTTTCATGTCTATTGGGAATCTGTATGCCTTCTTTGGAAAAGTGTCTATTCTGGTCCTTTGCCCATTTTTTTTTTTTTTAATTTATCTTTATTGTTGAAAGTATTACAGGTGTCCCATTTTTCTCCCCCATTTGACCCCTCCACTTCACTCCCACCCCCTCCCCAGGCCTTCACCCCGTTATTAACTGTGTCCACGGGTTATGCATATATGCATATAACTTCTTTGGTTAATCTCTTCCCACCCTCCACCC